TTAATTTAGACTTTATATCTAAATCACCGACATCATCAAGTCCAGCTGTGGACCTTTCATATCCGTAGGCTATGGCCTCATATAAAGTCTGTCTCTTATACACATCTAGATGTGTATAAGAGACAGACATTTGTGCATGTAAGCTGAGCATGTTTTTTTCCCCATTCTATATTAAAAACTAACTATACCTTCAACATCTATAAGATAATCAAAAAACTGTGACAGCACAACTTCTTCAGTGCTTCTTTTATTACTGCCCTTTTCACTGAAGTCCACATGGAATATTGTCTTTAATCTTTCTGATGTCAACTCTGATTCCTCACTGTGAATGAAAGCCTTTCTACAGGCAACAGGGTTTTCTTTTATAGTGTTCAGGACACCTAAAGTTTCAAGCCCAGAAAGTAATCTGAAAAAATATATAATAATGAAAAATACCAAAAGAGGTAAGTGAAAACAAACATGACATTCTACGAAAATGCAGCAATAAAGTGAAAAATGTTTAGCATATGGTTTTTAAATTATATATGGACAGTTTTAAATTAATCAGAAAAAAAAAAAACAAAAACAAAAAAAAAACAATAGAATTCAACGAAAAAAAGGTAAGTGCAAGTAAATGCATTTCCCTTGACAGGATATTATTATAATGTAATTTATTGTACCTAAGTACACTTTTAAAATTAAATAAGTATAACACAAAATAAAAATTTGTTTTAAAAAAAAAAAGTAAACTTGAAATCACAATTACTGTAAATCTTATTTTTCCAAGGTAAAAAATGAATTCAAACAAATTTAAGTACAGAATAATTAATTACAATCGTATAAAGTTGTGGATAAAAATGTCGGTGAAGGTCCACCATGTACCAGTGACATCGCCATTAGCTGTCCAGCATAGTAATAGTGATCATTCTCCATGGCTATATAACAAATAACATTTTTAAAAACATGATAAGAATAAAGTTTGGTTGTCACAGAAAAAGGTGTGTCTTTTGAAAATAACTTATAAACAGCAAACCAACAACAGTAGTTCAAACTATAAGAAATCATATTTTAAAAAACTGAGGAAATAAATATTTAAATTTTTTAAATTTCTGGTATCAATTGTTTATGGAAAGTGGCTTATTAGGAAATTATGGGTATACTGAACCTCACATTTGAAATAGGAAAATTTGTTTGTTTTGTTTATTTTATTTATGCTGGAAAATAATTATCTTGTTGAGTGAAGTGAATACCTACTTGAGATCATGATTATTTGGGTTATTGTATGCTTAATGTGATCCAAAGATTTATAACATAGAAGAATAGATTGTCATAAATAAGACAATTACCAATGTAGAAAATGTTGCGTACATGAATTCAAATATTATAAATTATAACAGTATCAAATCTCAGCTTACCTTGACCACCAAGTGAAAGGACTCTGCTGGTAGGTGGCCCTTCAAAAAGGCTACTATGTTGTATATGGTTCAGGACAAGTGAAAAAAATTCCCTTCGGGGCCCACCTACGTCTATAGCACCTTCAATCTGGCCAATTGAGTCTGTAAATTTAACTGAAATTGGATTGCTTGCTGAAAAAGATTTTCTTCTTAGACCTCTCAATGCTCCATCCCACACTCTGGTTCTGCATATATTAAAAAATGTTGTTTGGTTGCCCTCGGGCAAAGATGCTCTTAAGGAGCTGAACAAATCAGCAGCAGGGGCAGCGTTGGTCTTGGAAAAAAAAAACAAGTCAAAACTCCTAAAGTGTAGTGTACAGAACACAGGAAATTTTCATCTACATGTACATAAGAAAATAATCCTATAAGAGTCTTTTATCTTCTGAATACAAAAATTATCCAACAACCTGTTTCTCTTTTAATGAACTTAATTAAGTAATTTGATTTAATTTTATCAGTTTAAAACAACTGAAAAATATACAACTGAAAGCATGAAGTGAAAACAATTTCTTGATTAATTTAGTGATAATAGGATTCATGTATTTTTTGATTTATTGATTCATGTATTTTTGGATTTATTTCTATTGAATACAAAAACAATATACATCGAAAAAGAAAAGCCTACTTTTCATCCATCAGGCTGCGCATAATTGCAACTGAAATATCATCATCATAATCGTCGGAAGATAGAAGAATTGATTCATCTAATATTGAGCAATACTGACTAAAAAAAATGTTAAAATTATAGAAGATTAATTAAAATTATAGAAATTATAGGTGCAATTTAAAAAAATCCTCTTTGGTCTTATTGATTAAATCGGTATACTCATACAACTTGTTCTTTATACAGGACCCACTCCCTAGAACAGATACTAAGCACTCAATCACATACTAACAGTACATTAAGTTAAAAACAACACAATATTCTTTAGCACTTGGGTAGCAAAAATGTTTAAAATTTCAAAAATATTCTAAAAATAGCTTGACAGTAAATGATAATAATTAAAGAGCTCTGACAGAGATTGACTAAAAAAAATCATCAAATATTTCTGAGGAGATAAATATTTCTCACACTTTTGAAAGTGGAATTACCAAAGTAAATCCAAAATTACCTGTAGGATGTTGACCCTGTCGATGCCGATGTTGAAGGACCGCTTCCGACAGTAAATGAATCTTGCTTGCTAGGTCTAAATAATAAGTTTTTAAAACAATCGGTCGTCAGTTTTTTAGTAAATTTATTTGATAATCTACATAAATAAATAAAATAAGTTGATACACTTAGGCCTAGTTTTAATTGACATATATTTGGCATATCACCTATTAGTGGTTAGGCCTAGGCATTGTCAGTGACATTTATTTTAAAATTAAAAACAACAAAAATGTTTACCTTTTCTCGTTCAAAATTATCGATGAGGTGTTCTAAGTTTATTTCTCGCAGGATATCACGCAAACTTTTCTTCTTTGATGATGCCATCTCAAACGTCTTAACCCAACTAAAGTAAAATGCAAAGTAAATCATCTTTTTATTGGCCTAGACCAAGGAGGTATTAAATAAGCTTATTTAATACCTCCTTGCCTAGACCTAGCAGGGAACCTAGCTAGGCCTAGGCCTAGGCCGAGTTGGTTATGAGCAAAGATACTGGTTATGAGGTGTGATGATTACGAAAACTTATCGCGGAAGATTCTCCATGGGATGTCAAAATAGCCGCTTTGATCTTTGTAGTCTTTTTAGTCCAGTCGTTGGAAATACCTATGATTTAAAATTTAAAACAAGGACAAACACATTAGATCTAGAAGGGAGGAAACGTACATGGTCAAAAAATATGCACACAGGTTTTATGTAATTTATGTAAAAACGACACTATTGAAAGTACAGATCATTTTTTATTTCAATGTTCTCAACTAAGTAATATAAGAGACAAACATTTTGAAAATCTAAAAAATGAACTATTATATCACGGGTATACTTCATTTTGGAATGATTTTGATGAAGGAACTACCGAATTCAAACACCATATATTACTCGACGATCTGTATTCAATATTTCCCAATGAAAACAATGGAAAAATTGTTGACTATCACTGTAAACAGTACCTAACTGCTTTATGGAAATATCGAACTAAATTATTAAATGAATTACCGCCCTCTATATAATATTTTTATTTATTTTATTTTTTATTTTTATTGTTATAAAAATATATACTGTATCTTCTTACTGTATTAATTATCGCCCCTACAGTATTTTTTCAAACTCTTACCTTTTGTACGGATTTATTGGTGATCCGCTAACGTTAGCGGATCACCTCTTGTTATTGTCAGAATCTTTCTTTCTTTCTTTCTTTTTGGTGATCCGCTACACTCGCGGATCGCGATTTTTTTTTCCGTACGAAACATTTACATGAAACTTCACTCGGGCCATCTCGGATTGACTCGAGTGAGTACGATACGAGGAACAAGATCAGACACTTCGCAATGTCGT